TTAAATAAATAAATGTTTTTTAGCTATTAAATAAATAAATGTTTTATTAATATGTTTCGTTGAACTTTTAGAGTTTAATGCATTGTGGGATAAAAATGAATAGATTTATATGTGTTAGTATATATATTTATATTATGTATTAGGTTATAGCCCGTGGAAACCACTGTTACAAAAATAATTAATTTTTTATAATAAAAATCATAATTGTTAATCAATTGTTTTTAATAAATTATTAATTAAACATGATTTTGTACGATTTTTCAATTTGTATATACAGTTAATTATCGGCAGTCATAACTGAATCTTATTCAAGACAAATTTAATTTTTTCCTAAAAATCAAGAATCAAATAAATTATTGCCTAACTTATTATCAACATCAATACTTTTCAAAATTAAAAAATGGTAAGAAAATGCTAAGTGTCATTTTTATAGAGCATTTGAAAAGAAAAATCTAAATTATGAGAAAATGACAAGTGTCACTAATAACTATTCTTTTATTAGTATAGAAAGAAAAGATTCTGTTTTTGAGGCCTAATCTTTTGTGTATGTTTATACGTATCAGGCCCATGTATATTGTATTTACTAGTTATGAGACACATGTATTACATGAGTTAATTAAAAAAAATTAAATATAAAGGTCAAAATATTCGAGAACTTTGAATTTATAAGAAAATAAGAAAAATAATGAATTATTATAATGAAAATGTTTTGTATCTTTTAAATTTAAATGAATAAAAGAAATTAATGAGCTTTAATTTTGGGAAGTTTGAAATTAAAAAGTAAATTCATTAATGAAATTGATATCATTTTATTACTAAATTTATTGCAATTATTACATTAAAATATTATGTGAAATTTAATAAAATAGAAAACTTATAAAATGACATGTGGAAAAGAATTAATTTAAAATAACTAAAAAATGATATTTGGCAAATTGAATGAGGGTGTGACAGGTGACAAAAAAAAAATTCATTTATTAGAAAGGATATTGGTTGTTTAATGAGACGTGGTTTATGGGAAAATACCTATGTTAGCATGGTATCAGATCACCGCCATTCATCTCTTCATCTAATTTAAACCCTAGTGTCATTCTTCCTTCATTGACGTCGCTTCTCCATATTGTCTTCTATTCATCCAGTTAACTCTCACCATGACAGGTGATGCATCTAAAAACATCCCCATCACAGAAAAACCTTATGGAATATCTAATATCCGTGCCTCGATCCCTCTTCTTCTTGATTATGAGAATATGAATTAATGCATGGAGGGAAATTTTCGAGACCAATTGTTGTGGTTTTACCGTCGTTGACCATCTCAAACCACTGAAGGATCCTGCCTCCTCCAATATGGATGAGTGGGAATGCATGGATTCAATTGTCAAAAGTTGCATCTATACCACTTTGTCTCCTTCCCTGCTTCAGATGTCACTAAAAAAGAAGTCAAATGCATATGGTTTATGGACTCAACTTGAAAAATTGTTTCGTTCCAACGCTGAATCTTGGGCAATGCAGTTAGATGCTGAACTTCGATCTATAACCATGGGAAAATTGTTTGTGTCTGCCTACTACACAAAAATTCTCACCATAGCCGACACACTAGATAATCTTGATGCAGAAGTCCCAGAAAAGAATTTGATTATTTACACCGTGAAAGGATTGGCCCCAAAATTTGGATACATTCAAAGTCAAATTCGCCATTCCAAGCCTCTTCCATCGTTTACTGATACTCAAGCCATGCTTTTGGTTGAAGAATAACATCTGATTGAACAAGATCACCAAAATAATGGGTCATCAATGTTGTCAAAACCTCCTCTTCCACTGCCTTGGTCGCCGGAAGCTCGCCTAACTCTTCGTTCAATCGTGGCAGCAGAACTCATGGAGGTAGAGGTGGTAGTCGCAATTGGTGCAACAGTAGGTCAAGTGGTTATGGTGGTCGGTCGTTCAATGGAAACCCTCATCAAAATAGTAACGGCGGTAGTCAAACACCCCAAGTTCCATCCGGATGGGGTTTAGGTTTCTACCCATTGGCTGCTATGGGTTCGCTCCAAGTAAATCAACAGGTCGGCCTGCTTCCCTCCGTAGTCCATCATCCCAGTCGTCCCACCTGGCCCACCAATTTCAGGCCATGGAATTCTCCAACTCAGCATATCTCTACTCGTCCACAGTTTCGGCCCAATCTCAGCAGGCTTATGTGATTTCTTCCAATATCCATCAGCCCACCCCACCTTGGCAATGGTTTAACCCGACTACACCCTCTCAGCAATCGGATCAAGCCAGGGATCTTCCCCAAGCTCTTTAACACAATGTCCTTAAATGATCTGTCGCATAATGGTTGGTACATGGATATCGGGGCAACCGGTCATCTTCACTCTGAAACAGCTTTACTCAAAACAAAATCTAATTGCAGTTTTTATCCTTCGGTCTTGTTCGGAGACGGGTCTAAAACTTTTGTAAGTAGTATGGGTGACACCGATCTTTCTTATTCCAACCCTTATCACACTATCTCTTTAAAAATGTTCTTATTGTTGAATTAGGTATATAAGCCAATAGCTAAATTGGTATATACTTTAATTAAAAGTAAAGTCTTTTTGGGTTGCCCTCAAATTTAGTAATTGACTATAATGACTTTTGGAGAAAGAGGGCTGATTTCTTGGTTTATTATATAATTAAAAAAGAACAATAATTAATTTATTAATATAGTATGAGATTGATATATTAATTATAAATAGTATTATATAATTAATAGTTAATCAGAAATTAATTAAAATTAATTTTGGGATTAATTGGATTAATTAAAAGTGCAAGGACCTAAGCTGTAATTTTTCAATAGTTGAACAAGAAAAGAATTCTAGAGGATTCTAGGGGAGGCCAGAAATTTGAAGGCTCCTTAGGGTTTCTAGATTATTCCATATAGATAATACGAATAATAAGAAAACTAGATAAAGTCAAGATTTGAAATAATATTAATTTATTTCAAATTTGGGTTATATAGGTTTTTTGTATCAGCTATAAATAGGGCCTTAGCCATGTGATTTTCGGCCACCATTACTCCAAGAAGGATTGTCGAAAATAATCTCCCCTCTCCTCTCTCCTCAAGTATTCTAATTGCTAGTGTTTGGGTACAAACCATCAGAGGCACAAGATTTCTAGTGCTTGCTTTCTAGAGCTTGTTCAAGAATTATTGATTATTTTAGAACAATAATCAAAAGGTACGTAAACCATAATCCCTTTTTGAATTTCGATAATAATAGGGTTTTCCTAGGGTTCTTTGATGTTGAAAAGTTTATTGCTATCAATAGAGAATACTTAGATCCAAATAGGTTGCGTGTGAACTTAAGTTTCAAGTTTTTTTTTTCGCCACATGATTTTAAATATAACCTATAAAAACCACCAATGGTATCAGAGCCATAAGTTTTCTATTTGATTGTGCATAATAGTGAATATATCAAAATTAGGGTTTATGAAAATTAAACCCTAATGACCATGATTTCGAATTGGCTAGGGTTTCTTGAAACCCTAGCCTCCTAACCCCATTTTCGAAATTGGGGAGCCTTTTTAGGCTTTTATCGTGTTTCCTTAATTATCATGTTAAAAATCATAAAATTTGAATAATTAAAACGTGATAAACACAACCCTTTTTTCGAAAATTAGGGGTTTAGATTAGGATTAAATTTGAATTATTTTAATTGTTTAATTTAAATAATTATTTAATCCCTAGATGATTTAATTAATTTAATTAATTATTTAATTAAAAGATAAAGATAAATCATGATTAGTTTAATACTAATTAATTAAAAGATTTAATTTAAATAAGTAGTATTTAAAACTTGTATTTTAAAAAGCTTTAAAATACACCATATATATATATATATATATATATATATATATATATATATATATATATATATATATATATACTATTAATAGTTTAAAATATTATATGTATAAGAAAAGTCAGTCAAATCTCTAGTACACCTCATTTACGAAGCTATACTATAAGGGGGTATAAAGAAGTGACTTATAAAATGACCATCATTGGGTGTCTACTCTCACCCACTGCTCCCTTGTATTGTGGACGATCGTTAGCCGAACAAATTTGATATGATATAATCTCCTTAAAAGTATAATGATATAAAAGTACTAGAACGTTCAATATCACTTTAGTTACTTTAGCAAAAATGTGAAAAGTATGCTAATCCATGAAAACACACATATACTTTTGATGACGTGCCCCTAGCAAAAATGTGAAAAGTATGCTTCCATAATGGGCAGTCACGTCGCCGTAAAAACCGAAGCGACGATTGAATCAGAGCTTGACACATGTACCAAGTAGTTAAGTCCAGAACATCATAACTAGTCTAGCAACGCTATGACTACTGGACTAAGGGACTTGATGACGTGCCCTAGCGCGCACGAAGAAGCTGTGCCCAGTCGCGCCAGAGAATGCCCTAAGGCATGTCGCGCCCGGCAGGCTAAGCCCGACGGAACCTAGCGCTCGTCAGCGCCCCTAAGAGCAGGGCGCTCGTAAAGAAAGGCTCAGCCCCGCCAGAGGCGCCTTCCACTCCGGGACAAATATAACGGTCTATGGCGACAAGGCAGATGCTCAGAGCATTACCGGCTGAACCAATCGTTGGCTCTGATAGATTAAGGAGCACAATCCACCAATCAGCGTCCCCGATCTTGTCAGGTCTGATGCCCTTGTCCCGTAAGGACTAGCAGAAGGATCTAGTATAAAAGGCTACTCCAGGTGCCTTGGGAAGTAAGTGATTCTCTCTCATTTTACTCACAATACAAACCCAAGTCTATCCACTGACTTGACCGTCGGAGCGTTTAACCGGGAGCCCCTTCCCGGAGAACGGATGACGACCCTTTCTTGCTGTGAGCTCGCAGGTTCACCAGAATCGCCAAGGAAGAAGAGCATAGCCGAACGTGAACCAGGTCACATCATTTGGCGTCATCCGTAGTGTGAGGAAAAACAAATCAAAAAAGCACACTCTTCATCAGTGAAAATTGGAGTCCGACGACACCAGGGGAACCGGTGGAGCGTCAACCAGCCCAATCAGGCCTATGATGTCGCTGGAACAAACCACCAACCCGATTCCCACAGTAATCACCGGCGAAACGTCACAAGTAGGCGGTTCGAAGATAACTGTTGCACCAACAATCGGGCCACAACCATCGGTCGACGGAGGACAAACTTCTTCCGCCGCCGTGTCAACACAAAGAACTCCAATACAAGCACCCCAACTAACGGATATATCAAGCAGTACGACACCGCCAATGGTGGAAGACATTAGCGCCACACTGAGTTTCTTCCAGCAACAACCGCCAAACCAGATGGCAGGCACATAACCGATGGTTTTTTCAGACACCACCACCGCCCAACCAGATGGCAAGAGCACAACCGGTAGCCTTCCAGACACCACCGATAAACCAGATGGTAGGAGTACAATCGGTAGTTCTCCAGACACCACCGATAACCCAGATGGTGGGAGAAACACCAGCAGTTTTCCAGACACCACTGCTGAACCAAACGGTGAGAAACCAAACAATGGCTTTCCCAACACCTCCATTTGCATCAAACATACCTCTCTCCACCACAATCGCACATTACCAACAACTTGTGACCAATAATCCCCTTGTAAAATACTCACCCCTCCAGTCTACCAAACGTTAACCTTCCCATTCCCACAACAAGCATTCTACGGGCCAAACCTTGGCCACTCTCCAACATATAACAACATGCTTATGCAACCCCAAGCTACTGCCCATCAGTAGAACCTACAGGGTGCTTTTTCCATCCCAAACCAAGACTGCCTGTCGCGTAGTGTAACATCTCCATTCACCAAGGAGCTCTTGGATTACGAAATCCCAAAAACAACAAAAATTTCCACACTTAAAGACATACAACAGAACCACAGATCCTGATAGCCACATCGATACATACGAGTGGACGATGACATCACTCAAACTGGACGAGCGATTCTGGTGTACATACTTCCCAACAACCCTAGATGTAAATGCAGGTACGTGGTCAAGACACTGCCCTAGGGAGCATATACAACTTCGGGAAGTTAAGATACTTATTCCTGACGAATTTTTTGTAGTTTCGTAAATACATGGGAGATTCGCACTCAATCATTGGCTGCAAACAGAAGGAATGAGAAACAGTAAGCGAATACTTCACCAGGTTTACCAACGCCACGCTAGACGTCCCAGGTCACGACGAAGGCTTAATAGCAGCCGCCTTCACATGGGGCCTCCTGCCAGGACCCCTGTCTAAAAAGCTGATGGGAAAAAAGCCACAGATACGCGCAGAGCTAAGAGAGAAAGTAGAATGCTACCTGAGACAGGAAGAAGGTGAGGCAACGAAACAAGCATACCCTGAATGCCATGAACGCCTCGACCATAAAACGCCACAGCCCACCACCGTCTGACCCAGAAACCCAAGGCAGGGGCAGGTACTTTGGGCGAGGGAAGCGCTCGCAGGGACGCTTCAGGCAGTTCCAAAGAGATGAAAGGCAGGGAAGGCGGCTGTACGTTTATGCAGTGTCTGACAAACAACCGGTGAAAGGAGGAAAGGCATGATTCTGTGAGTACCACAAAAGTAAAACTCATGACACCGTCAACTAATCAGTGTTAAAAAAGGAAATGAAAAAAAACAACTGAAGAGGAATCCCATCGAGGTGGCACGAAGCCTTCGCGCCAAGTTTGACGTTGAGAACGCCAAAGATGCAGCCAGAGAGCGCGACCAACCTCACAAAATCCTGATGATACACTCCAAGCGGGGAAGGCAAGAGGAACATTACGATATGGACAGTCTCACCGGATCCATGCAAGGACTGACGTTTTGAGCAAAGGACCCCCGTCTGAAGGTTTAGCGGGGTGACGAACCACTCATAATCCAAGGATCTATCAAGGATGTGACGATCCATCTGGTATACGTTGATACGGGCAGCTCGGTGGACATTATTTACGAGCACTGCTTCCGCCTTCTCCCCCGATAGATGGAAGGATAACCTTAAGCCTACAATGGGGAGACTAACAGGTTTCATAGGGCACAGCCTATGGCCCCTAGGCACAATTCATCTGCCTTTCACGCTGACCAGCCACGACATAGCAAAGAAGAAGACATCCCTAATAGACTTCATTGTGATAAGACACCCAACAGAGCATAACATCATCCTCAGGCAGACGAACCTGCTCAAGTTTGGGGCAGTCCAGTCAACGATGCACTGGATTATAAAGTTCAGCACCACGGAGGGGTCGGGAACAGTCCTTGCAATGCCACCAACGGAGTTACAATGTTACGAGGTCATGCAATCGAAATAGATAGCGCAAGAAAACAAGAAGTCACGAATAGAGTTGACAAGTGACAAATAAATTATCAATAAGGAATACCCGGACCAAACGATCAGCATAGGCAAAAACCTCCCATCATCCACGAGACAGACACCGGTCAACCTCTTGAAAAAATACAAGCATGTATTTGCTTGGAATCCTACGGTCATGGTAAGGGTAGATAAAGGTTATAGAGCACATGCTCATGATCAAGCCAGGTACCAAAGAAACCAAGCAGAAAAAAGGGTTCAGGGGGGAGACAGGAAAAGGGGAATCAACGCCAAAGTTGCTAAAATAAACAAGTCAGGGATACTACGAGAAGCAATTTTCCCGAATTGGATTGCCAACCCTGTCATGGTAAAGAAACACGATGGCTCATGGCGCATGTGCATTGATTACTCTAATTTGAACAAGGTATGCCCAAAAGACTGCTACCCTCTGCCAAAAATCGACCAAAAAGTCGTGTCCTTGCAAGGCTTCAATCAAAAGTGCTTCTTAGAAGCATACAAGGGGTACCATTAGATCTTGATGAGCAAAGAAGACGAAGAGAAAACAGCTTTCTACACAGACCATGGGGCTTTCTGCTACACCAAAATGCCGTTCGGTCTGAAAAATGCAGGGGTGACCTATCAACGGGTAGTTGACTCCATTTTCGAAAACAGATCGGAAGAAATATTGAAGTTTACGTCGATGACATGGTCATAAAGAGCTCTGATGACAAGAAGCTACTGGATGACGTAAAGGAAATATTTAAAACTCTGGAAAAAGTCAGGATGAAGCTGAATCCAGGAAAGTGTACCTTCGGTATTGAGGAAGGCCAATTCCTGGGGTACTAGAATACCAAGAAGGGAATCCAGCTAAGCCTAACAAAAGTCGATGAATTCATGGAGGTGCCACCCCCCGAACACCTTGCGAGATGCTGAGGGACTAAACGGTAAGCTGACTGCGCTAAGTCGTTTTATTTCTAAATCAGCAGAAAAGGCCTTGCCACTCTTCCACACCCTCAAAGGGTGCATTGAAAAGAACAACTTACAATGGAAACGCCAGCAGAAGCAACACTCCAACAGATCAAAGAAGCCCTGTACAAGTTACCCCACATTGGCCAGTCCCACCCCAGGCAAAACACTGCAAGTATATCTATCAGCCTCGGATGAAGCCATGTCTTCGGTCCAGGTCGTGGAAAGGTAAGGCAGGCAAGCACCAGTTTACTTTGTTAGCCGAGCAATGCAATGTCCATAAATCAATTATCCTATTCTCGAAAAGCTAGTGTTAGCACACATCTATGCAGCACAACGCTTGAGATGCTACTTCCAAGCACAATAGATAGAGGTGCTAACAAACTGTCCGATCAAACAAATACTAGCCACGCCAGAGACGTCCGGGTGATTAGCGAAATGACCAATCGAACTAGTGGAGCATGATATCAGCTACCGCCCACGTACCAGTATTAAAGGTCAAGCACTAGCAGATTTTCTACTCGAAATTCCAGGTGGGGTGAAAACTGCGATTCAGACAAAAGGATCATTGGGGATAGACTAGCCCAGGGATGACCAGAAACGGACCTTGTATACTGACAGAGCATCCAGTAAAGAAGGGTCGGGAGTAGGCCTGATCTTGACAAGCCCGGGGGGTGGGGGGAAGAGATCACTATTGCCATCCACTTCGACTTCCACACTTCTAACAATGAAGCCGACTACGAGGCCTTGCTAGCTGGCCTACGATTAACAAAGCAAATAGGCGCAGAAGTGATAGTAGCCTTAACAGATTCAAGATTGGCCGCAAACCAGATCAACGGAGTATTTGAAGTGAAAGACAAACAAATGGAGAAATACGTGAAAGCTATACAACGACTTTTCGAACCTCTCAAACAGTTCACCATCAGGCAGATCCCAAGAGGAGAAGACAGAAGAGCAGACGCCCTCAGCAAGTTAGCATCAACAAGTTTTGATCACCTGTCCAAAAGGTCCTTGTGGAAGTGCTTAAAGAGAGAGTATAGATGAACGACGGGTGACGCTCTTGCAGGAAAAATACTTCGAATGGGCATCTACTAGACAACCATACACTAGGATGCGTTGGAAGTGACACGAAAATGTGTAGAATCCCAAACCTACTCTCCGATCCAAGGGAACCCCCAGTGCCGTTGACGAGTCTTTCTAGCCTGTGGCACTTCTATCAGTACAAAATAGACGTTGTGGGGCCGTTCCCAGACGCCCCAGGCAAGGTAAAGTACCTGGTACTCTCAGTAGATTACTTCACAAAATGGACAAAAGCTGAGCCGTTAGCATGTATATCGGGGAGACATATCGGGGAGACAGGTGATAAAGTTTTTATGGAAAAATATTTTAACAAGGTTTGGAATACCAAAGATACTCATCAGTGATAACGACCTATAGTTTGCTGAGAATCTGTTCCAAGATTGGTTTGGGGACAAGGGAATCAAACAGCGATTCATGTTCGTAGCACACCCCCAAGCGAACGGCCAAACAGAAGTGTCCAACAGAACGCTGGTAAATGGAATCAAGAAGCGCTTGGCAAAAACTAAGGGCAACTGGGTCGAAGTGCTACCAAGCATGCTTTGGTCGTATAGGACGATGCCAAGACTGAGCACAAAAGAAACTCCTTTCAGCCTAACCTACGGCACGGAGGCAATGCTGGCGGTAAAGTTGACGGTGGGGTCAGTGCGAACGACCCATTTTGAAGTAGCAAGAAATAACAAAGATCTGAGAGGAAACTTAGATCTCATCAAAGAGAAGCGCGAACGATCGAACATCCGTCAGGAAGCTTACAAACATGCTGTGGAAAGGTATTATAACCAAAGGGTCAAAGAGAAAGCTTTCAAAGTTGGGGATTACATTTTCAGAAGAAATGAGGCAAGCCATGCCTAACCGTAAGGAAAGCTGGGCCCGCTTGGGAAGGGCCGTATAAGGTCATTGAAGCAAACCGCAGCGGTACATACGTGCTCGAGACGATGGAAGGAAGGAAAATCCCAAGAACATGGAATGCCAAAAACCTAAAGAAATTCCACTTCTAAACCACCACCCAGAATGATCACCCGAGGGACGCTCGACGTCGGAGACTCGGTGCACTTAGGCATGCAACTTTATTTTTCATTTTACAAAGTAGTCAATGTAACGTAAGGCTAAGCACAAACCATTTTCTTAAAATAATCAGTGTATTTAAATGGCTTTCCTATTAAAATGCTCAGCGTATTCAAACATAAATACTTAGTGTA